GCACTAACGCTAACAGTTGTCAATGGATCTGTAGAGACTAGGTCAATACTCTGCTGTCCGATGCCTCTCCAGAACAGGTGCTTCTTGTTTAATGGCAAGGTGTGCAACGTCACGGGCTTGATACCGGCGGGATTGCATAGTGAGTGTTTGTGTTGTGAGAACGGTTAGCGATTCTGAGCTAGTGTATTGTGTTGCAGTTGTTGCGCTGTTGTGCTGTGTTGTACTTGTGACGAATGGATGAATGTATGATCAAAGGCAGTCTTTCTTTGGGATCACGCTTCCATTTGGTAAAATTTCCCCAGGAACCTCACCTTCAGCAGAGGTTTTTACAGGCACCATCGTCGGCTTATCGTCACACAAGACCATCTTATCTGTTACAAAAAAGGATACTTGTCTAAATGATTTATGAAAGGATGCCTCGCCCATGATGCCAGAATCTTCCTCTTCTGTTCTCTGAATTAAAAAAAAAAATGAAATGACGAGGCTAAATGTACAATTAATCGAATTGCTTAAGATATGTAAAGGAAATGCTTTCATAATGAAACTGCTTTCCTCTTCATCTTTGTGTACACGTTATTGTGTTTGTAAGAGATGTTTTTTATTCTTTTTTATACATTTAAGAGATCCGACATGCACTTACTTAGCCGGTATTACGATATATCATGACTTTGTTATTAACAATTGCCGAAACACGTATTAGCTAAATTAGAAAAAAGTACTTATGAGATAAACAAATGTGTATGGAAGATAAATGTGTCATTTGTTTATTTGTTCATTATTATCATTATTTATTATTATTATCATTACTATTATTATTATTTTTATCATCATCTTTATTATCATTATTATTATTATCATTATTATTATCATTACCATTGTATTATCATTATTATTATCTTTATTATTATCATCATTATTATTATTATCATTTTATTATCATTATCATTATCATTACCATTTTCATTATCATATTATCATTAGAGAGATTCTAATGCAATTATTAGAATCCTCGCAAGCCAGACATGGAATATTCTTTCTCGGCTGTCATGTCTTAGACAAAGTTGGAAGTCATCTGTTCCACGGTCTGTTCCATCCCCTTGGCATCGAAGTTGATAGGATCGAACCCCACTGCACCGAATTCGATTCCGTTACTGATTGCGCATTTCGTAATTCTTCTTCTAAATGTTTCCCGCCCCCGCTCGCTCTCACGTCTGTTCTCAATCCTGCTATTATTCAAAGCTTAATTTAATTGTAAGAATTGATGTAGTTGCCTGCATTTCTTTTCGTAAGTTCACATTTCTCCCCCATTCTCTCTCTGTCTGTCTGTCTGTCTCTCTCTCTCTCTCTCTCCCTCTCTCTCACACACACACACACACACACACACATACAGACAAATCACACGCATTTCAGTGATTCACGAATAAACCGCTAAAAAAAACAAGACACGCTTTTGTGAAACTACATTATTCGTATTGCACAGACTTTATAAAAAGAAAAACAGATTGTTCTGGAACGTTCAAGTGGTATAAGATATTACAGAAAGCTCCTGATCTTGTAAGTGTTAATCCTTGTCCAGAATCGTTGCCTGACCCAAAGACACCTAATATGCATGAAATTGATGTTTAAGAGCCTTTAGCTGTAGTCTGAGGTACGTTTATATAAGGACGAACAATTATTATCATTACCATTGTATTATCATTATTATTATCATTTTATTATCATTATCATTACCATTGTATTATCATTATTATTATCATTACCATTGTATTATCATTATTATTATCATTACCATTGTATTATCATTATTATTATCATTACCATTGTATTATCATTATTATTATCATTATTATTATCATTATTATTATCATTTTATTATCATTATCATTACCATTGTATTATCATTATTATTATCATTACCATTGTATTATCATTATTATTATTATCATTTTATTATCATTATCATTACCATTGTATCATCATTATTATTATCATGATTATTGTCATCATTATTATCATCATTATCATTACCATTGTATTATCATTATTATTATCATTACCATTGTATTATCATTATTATTATCATTATTATTATTATCATTATTATTATTATCATTACCATTGTATTATCATTATTATTATCATTTTATTATCATTATCATTACCATTGTATTATGAAGAACAGATTGTTCTGGAACGTTCAAGTGGCGGATATTACAGAATGCTCCTAATCTTGTAAGTGTTAATCCTTGTCCAGAATCGTTGCCTGACCCAAAGACACCTAATATGCATGAAATTGATGTTTAAGAGCCTCTAGCTGTAGTCTGAGGTGCGTTTATATAAGGACGAACAAGGAAGGAACTCAGTGAAGCACAATGAAGTTATCTGGACAACAACACTTAGGTAGAGATATATATTGAAGTTTTGAAGTCCTTTTGTATAGCAATGACTTTTGGATATAGTCAAAACAAAACAAATGATTTGATTTAAAATCAGCAACCAACATCATATCATCTTTATCATATTATCTTTATTTCCATGGATTTTAAGCATATTTACATACCCATGGTTTTGATTACACGCTATTATCTACTGCACACGATCACTTGTCACTGCAAACAAGACGAGATTTTCTACTAGGTAATCCATGCTATAGTTTGATGCTTTGCACGCAAAACCTATTCAAAATACTGAACGCATTTACCACATATACAGCTGCTGTTTATACATTTCTGATATCACTAAAATTATCTAGTTAATGAGCAGTATATCCGTATCCATCTACCGCTCGAACTATCTTTTACATTATATTTGCTCGAAACAAAATGAGTCAAGAGGAACATGATGCGAGGTTTTTGGTCATGTCTAAATCTACCATTAGCAAAATCCTTTATATACATAGGGACATCATATACACTAAAAGTTTTCTATAATTCTTTCTTCATAATCGAAACTGAACATTTTCTTGTCAATAAGTATCTAGTATAAAAATATATATATATCAAAGCAGGATTGCTTCCAATAGTGCACGTCATGTTGAATATTGCAAAGACAACACTGCAAACGGCAAGTGCGTTTTGCTTTGGAGAAAGTAAAGACATTGTTTTCAACCTATATGTATAACCCAGTTGTGCAATGTGTTAAAAGTGCATATGACAATTGCTTTTTCTAACACCTGAGGTATTCAATAAACCCTATATACTTTATCAACCATTGCAGAATAAATCACGCAATTCTCTGTCTTGCTGTCAAAATACTTTAATTAAACTTATCCCATACTGAATTATTATTATTTTTTTTAAGAATCGCAACCAGCATTTGCATTCCCAGAAGAATTCAGGTCTTTATGTGAAGTTCTCGAAGTCTGGAAATTTTTCTGTCATAGAGGCAGCGTTTGGAGTTTTGGATCCTGTTGCACAGTCTAGTCGAGAAGTGTTGGGTAACGTAATGGTTAATGGTTAAAACAAATGTGCTAGACATCAAAGGTCATATAGCACTAAGGTAAAGTATTGTGGCAAAAAGAATAAAAATGAGTCAACGAACAGGATAAGTGGACAGAAGATGGGGATAAAGGAGAGAAGGAAAAGGAAAGGAGGAGAAGAAAAGACCAAGAAAAAATAGTAGAAGAGGACCAAGGCTAGAGTGATCCCTACATTAGGCCTCAGTCTCCGTCTCCTAAGCCCCCCCCCCCCCCCACGACAACAACGAGCATGGGATTGTATGTGTTTGGGGGATGGGGGGCTGGTGAACTTTTGAGAGGCCTACAGTGCGCTTTAGGCCTTCCATGTCATTTGAAGTTCGTCTACAAATCTCTATACATTGATTACTTGTTAGAATTTTAAAGTATTCGAACAAAGCACATACATTACAAACAGGAAAGTCATCTCTACCTAAAACCCAAAAGCAAGGAAAACGTTTTACCCCTTAACCCCTTAATTTTAAAGTGTCCCTAAAAACCGGGATACATTCTAACAGATGGACTCCCTTCTTCACAATGGGCGCCTTTTTTAAGGTTAAAAAGAGGATTCACTATTGACCCACTTTTCGTCTGATATTTACTGGGAATTCCTATTTTTCGTGACCTTCTCTGAGAGACCACCTGCTGCATTTTTTCTCAGCGTCAGAAAGCTTTAGAGAAAAGGCAATAAACGAACAGTTTAGTACAATGAACACTGTGGCCTGGACTGTGTTTTCTAATCTTTTCTCGAGCTTTTACCCTATACACATTTTAGTCATTTACTTTTTTCTGTTTTATTTATCTATTCATTCACTGATCCTATTCAATCATTGATCTGTCTATCTGTTCATTCATTGATTTGTCTATCTGTTCATTCATTGATTTATCTGTGTATTCAGTTCGTTAATTTTTTGGCTTAACGATCCCCAAGGCAGAAAATTAATAGTCACCCAAGCAGATGTTCATATACAGATAACGCTTCTGTCAGGCAATCCAGACTTCAGCTTACGTCCTCTGCACGTATATTGATATATTAATTTGTGTATTTATTAATTTCATTTACTTCATTCATTTATTTTTATTTGGGAACTACTGATTTAACCCAGTGACTACGGATTTTTGTAGTGTCTCCCGTAGTTATTTGTGAATCTTGTTAGTTACATATAGATGGCTCCACATGTTCTCAGCCAGCAAGGAGTCTATCTGTCGGCCCTGGTGATCGCTCCTGACTTCCCCATTCCTTGAAATTGCGGTAAAACGTGTTTTTCTTATTAATATTATTGATATCACTACTGCCATTATCCTTATTGATATTATTACTATTAAATTGTTATCAAAACTCTGGTAACATTAAGGACAATGAAATGATACAAAGAAACTTTTCAAAAAATCAAGGAAAGAGGTAAACAGGTGAGACTGGTAGGACTAATAACTGACTCCTTGGTGACTAAGCACTTGTAGAGCCATCTATGTGCAAATACAATAAATAAATTTATATTAATCTTATAACCAGAATAAAAGGATTATGTGTTATTTAAACACATGATAAACACAACAAAATATTTATTTCATCACAAAAGTTCACATGAAAAAGACAAAAAACTGCAAAAGTTGTCGTGCCACCCTTTTCTAGACTTCTACATGTACACTGTATTCTGCTGACCAATATAACATTATAAAAGGAAAGGCAGTCTAAATACAAGTGGTGTTTGGTCTGAATACCTCGGTATATCAAATATCATAATCGTATCAAAATATTTAGCAAATTCCCTATACTAATACAGGTCCTTCGAAAATACTGAAGAAGTCCTTAATAATACCTTAAGGCTTAAGAGTATTTGGCAAAGGATAAAATCCTGAAGCCAACAAGAAGAAAATAAGTACATATATATCACATTTTCCCGTAAATAACATATTTATTTGTAAATTGTGTTTATTGTAATCACGGACAAGAAACCTTTAAAATAATGTATTGTCACTGTGATTTTTCGTCTTAATTCTTGCACATTTGCCTTTCACAATTTGAGATTTCGCACACGAGCACAAATCCTCCATTCGCTTTTAGTAATCAACTCAACATTCCTTTTAATAATCTTAGCATCAACCCAACATTCCTTTAAACATCCGTGAAGCAAGTTTTATTGAGATTAACCAGAATCTCTTTGTGGGTGACTAGTTCTACCTGATTCTAACATTCTAAGGACCTCCTCCTCCTACTGTCAGACCGTAAGACTCCTGTTCCGGCGGTCTGGGTGGGTGCAGAAGTAGTAGATGCAGACGAGGAGGACACCCACGACGAAGAACCCGGGGACCATGGCGAGGGGGACCCAGTGGTACCACATGTCCTGGTCGGTTGCCAAGTACCTGGCGATTAAAACAAGGCGTTAGTATCGTCTAGCGTCATCCGAGGAAAAGATACGATGGAATGTTGCGTGGAAATAGACGGTCTCGCTCTCACTCACTCTTCGAAGTGAGGAAATCAAATGAATGGCAGACTCACTCTCACTCACTCTCTGAAGCGAAGGAAATGAATGGATGGCAGTCTCGCTCACTTTTCACTCTCGACGGAAGGAGGAATCGACTCACCAGAACGTGATCATGCAGGCCTCTTCGACGAGTCTGAGGAAGTGGAACACGGAGCCCTGGATCTTGGGCGCAGATCCTCCGACGTCAATGAACGTGTAGAGGAGAACCAGCCCGAAGGAGGCACTGAAGGCGACATCGTCCACGCGGCTGCAGGGGCCTTTCCGGACGTCGTGAGTGAAGGTTGCCCCCAGGCGGACGGGGTTCGAACAACACACGACCTATGAGGGCGAGCCTGCATCAGATCACTCTTAACATTGCAGAAGGAATTATTCATGGAAGAAGGAAAGTACATATGCAAAGCCCTGTTCAGTGCAAAATTACAATATGATACAAGTTGCTCATTTCAGTAACAATGATCGCAACACTTTGGACGTCCACATCTCATTTAGCTTATGTTCAAGAAAATAGAAAACTCATGAAACATACCTGAACAATGACAAAGAAGCTGGCAGCCAGCCAGTGGCAGGATATCACCACCACAAATATGATCATGTATTTGGTGGAGAACAGAGCAAAACACAAAACCTGCAAAAAAAAATCGGGTTTATATCGACCTCTCATTCAAAAGAAAATTAATTAAGGAAGAGAAGGGGCATGTTAACACAGTAAAGTACACCGTCCATCTACCACTCCCAAGACAACAATAAACGTAACCAGCACATTAATAACGCCCAAGAAATAAAATCCCACCCCCTTCAGAATCAAGTGACAGTAGACCCCAGAGCCACTCCGACCTCGCCGCTGGGTCAGTGCTGAACCCAAGTCCGGGGAAACAGAGGGTTGGCATCAGGAAGGGCATCCGGCCATAAAATTAATATCTTTCAGAATCAGATGACAGAGACCCCCTACAAGAATGGCCCCACGCAAGGAGACGAAGACCCAGCCCGACGCCGGTGCTCACCTGCGGGGCGATGGAGCAGAAGTGGCCGAGGGTGAGGACGAGCAGCCCCGCGGGACTGAGGTTGCCCAATGTCGGTTCCGAGAGGCGGGTCGACCTCGAGAAGGAGGACACCGACCAGGACATGGCCACCAGCGACGCGGCGACGGAGAGGATCTGGAACATTACTGGACGAGAGAGAAGAAAAAAAAGAGTTATCTTCTATCGCGTCGAGTTCAAAGGCCATTAACGGAGAAGCTTTAGAGAAATTCTCCTGGGACTTTGACACACCGAAGTTCTGTCACAAAACTTATTACACAATAAATTTAACAGTTCAGAGCAAAATAACAATCATCCAAAAGGATAGAAAGATAGAATGAAAGTCAGAAAAAAAGAAAATAAATGGAAGAACGAAAACAAATGAAATAAATAAAAAAGTAAACAAAGGAACGAAAACAAAAGAAAAAGAAAGAAAAAAACAGCCCCTTACAAGTCTGGCTGATCTCCCCTTGCAGCGCCTGAGCAGGTATAGTTTGGGCCATGATATACAGCTGCAGGATCAGCTGAGGCGCGTCCTGCAGGAGCGACGCCAGCAGGTCCACGTTGGCCGCGTCCCTCTCAGCGTGGATCCACAGCTTGTGGTAGTTGTGGCCTCCCGTTGACTGTGCGTTTGCGAGGCCTGGGACCAAGGGTTTACGCATATTAAAACCATACTGAAATCACTCCGTCGTAAATGTTCATATGGAAAAAATCGCGCCACCGTTCAAGTGAAGCAAGTAAAAAAAAAGGAAAAAAAGGAAAAAGAAAAAAATATATTGTGTCACCTTTCTCATCTATATGAATACGTTATTCTATCCAACATTAATACGAGAGGAAATATAGTCTGTAGACAAGTGGTTGTTACTAACACTATCATTAAGAACATAAAGAGGAACAAACGTACTGACTGAACCTCTACAATCATTTTATCATAGTTTCATTATCAATAAATTCACGTTATTTGTTTATATTTGTAAGTATCTGTGTCCTTGTGTTTAACCAGGAAGTCTTGGTCACATTTACATGCGGGTGTAATGCGTTCACCTGCTCACATGCGGGTTTTAGCATCACGGTTCCTGACTAACGTTAATCAACAGGAAGAGGAAACAACCTTAATAAATGAAAATCAATCGATCTATTTCTATTTCTTCCCGTGACTGTTTTCCTATTCATATTTTGTACACGTTGCTGTGTGTGTATTGATGTTCACTGACCAAAGCGCTTACCCTGTTTGTGCTTGAATCTGTCCGCCGCCAGAGAGAACTTATCCGGGTGTTCTGGTCCCGCCCTCACCTCCGTGCACACCTGCCCCTTCCGCCGACTCTTGTAGCCGTAGTAGAGCAAATCCATGTACCTGAAAGAAAACCATTAAGATAATTCCGAAATCATAGTTTGGTATTACATCTCTTATGTCTTGGTTTTAGATCTCTCATGTCCACAGAAACTGCACTCCCATGTTTCACAATGCTGTTGATATGAACCGGTTTACTCATTCGCTGTATTTGCTGATGTACTGAGAAATTTGTATACCGTAAGCCACAAAATCTTGCCATACAAGTTAATCCACTTGGGCATAACAGGAAATTCTCACAACTGGTTTTCCATTTACCTGACAAACAGATGCCAGCATGTTAAGTGTAATAATGAAACTTCATCCTTTTTGAAAGTAAACTGTGGTGTCCCCAAAGGTACCGTTCTAGGTCCATTATTGTTTCCTGTACATATCAATGATATAGTTATAGATTCAAGCAAATTACTTTCATCTTATTTGCGGACGATAGCACAATCTATGCGTCTCACTGTAACACAATAGATTTTGTCCAGGAAGTAAATGACGAACTTGCTCATGTAACAAGTTGTTTGAAAGCAAATAAACTGAAGTAAATGACGAACTTGCTCATGTAACAAGTTGTTTGAAAGCAAATAAACTGAAGTAAATGACGAACTTGCTCATGTAACAAGTTGTTTGAAAGCAAATAAACTGACATTAAAAAAAACTCACTACATGATTTTACACCTTGACAAAATTATTCCCCCAAACCTAAGGCCGATTTCCAAGAACAACAAAACAATAAACGAGATATATGAAACTAAGTTTTAGGCATAGTTGTGGAAAAGCAATTGAACTGAAAAAAAACATCCAGCTTCTCAGAGACAAAAATTCTAAAACAGTGTGACTGCTTAGACGAAACTTCACTGATCCTTTATATTACTCTCTTGTTTCCCCTGCCCTGATGTATTACCAACTTCCCTGCATCCACTAATTACAGTGCAAAAGCTTGCCATACGAACAATTGTTGGCCTGAGGCGAAGGACCCATACTAATGAGGCTTTCTATAATTCATGGATCTTGAAGCAATCAATATTGATATTCTGCAATTTCAGCTATTTTTGTCTATACATGTTTAAATGGATTAATCAGTCAAGAGAACTATTTTTCTTTTAATGTAAAAGATAGATATCCCGGAAGGAATATATACTATCCCCGAAATGGCAACATCCCAGCCTAATATTAGCATTAGATATCATGGTGACAAAATATTTAATAATTTACCTGTTGCAATCAAATGTAAACCTAACATTACTAGTTTTAAATCTAGTCTAAAAAATCACCTTATCACGATGTACATTCAGTGATATCTATAATAGGTAGTTCGTGTGCTTTCGTAAACTTTTCTTTGTGACTTACGGAGCTGGGTAACTTGTCCTTTCATTATGATTATATCTTATATTCTGTGTATTAATAATGCCATGTAACTTTACTGTACATATTTATATCATATGAGATCTTAATTTCTTTGTTTCAATGTTAATCTCGTTATCATTTCATTCTTTTTTTTCAGTGTCAGTTTTAGACTTTATTATCTGTATTTTTATTTATATATATTTCGTCTTTGCTTCCCCATATATATTTCATCTTTGCTTTTCTCATTCTCTCTCTCTCTCTCTCTCTCTCTCTCTCTCTCTCTCTCTCTCTCTCTCTCTCTCTCTCTCTCTCTCTCTCTCTCTCTCTCTCTCTCTCTCCTCCTCCTCTCTCTCTCTCCTCCTCCTCTCTCTCTTTCCCACTCTCCCTCCCTTCCTTCCTTCCTCCCTCCCTCCCTTCCTCCCCCTACCTCCTCCCTCCCTCCCTTCCTCCTCCCTCCCCCATACAAACCTGAGCACATTCGCCTGCAGAAGGATATGCGAGATGATCCTGAACGCCCACACGCCCGGCGACACCTTGGGCGTTTTGTAGCACATGCCCTCCGGTTCACACACCTTCTCGTCGAACCAGTACCAGTAGACGCTGAACCCGTTGACGACCACCAGGGGGATTACTGTGGAGGAGGGGGGGTGAGGGTGAAATCATGAGCTCGTAAAGGTAGAATGAACTTCATCAGCCAAAGAGTTTAGGGACTGGATGATATAACGAGAATAACTTTATCAGTAAAAAGTTTAAAGACTAAATGATAAACTAAGAATAAAGACAAAAAAAACAAAAACAATAACAGTAATAATAAAACACAAACTAAATCAAATAAAACGTTGAAAAAGCAATATCATAAACGTTTGTCCTTTTTTTGTAGCGTCCCGAAACCCCGAACGCTTTGATACACTATTCAAGTATCACGGTCGCTATAAAACACGATATCATCGAAGTGTGTACGGAGAAACTATTATCATTATTATTTTACATAAAGAGTCAACACTAAACCATTAAAGTACTTAATATGCTGGGTGATTTTTAATTACAAGCAAATCATTGTGGGAGCTTCAAATGAAATGGAAAAAGTACCTGATTACTCTGCAACGTCTCTTGTTTGTACACACTTTTCGCTTCATAAGGCTGTGGATAGTTTGAATGTAGTCATCAGATTCAGTAAATATATATTTTTTTTATTACAAACATTGTTCTTCACATGGAAATAACGTATTGCGTCTTATCGTATCCACAGACAACTGGGAAATTCTAATGATCAGATATTTATTTGATTTATTAATTGACGTTTATCAAGAAATCAAGATACATAGCATTTCCTTTGGTATTTTTGAGATTGTAAGGTCATATCCTAGACGTACAGAATGATTTTGAAGACATTCATCCCACCGAAGTCAATACCACGTCATATGACTCGAACACGTCGGAAATTCTTATCATGTCGCTCCAGCAACAGTAATGATTGACTTCAAATCTTACCCATATAGAGTGAGCACGTATTTGATGTACTTCTAAAAAAGGCACGGAAACATTTATGCACCCTTATGATGAAAAATATTATCAATAAACATGCGATGCGATTCGTAATTAATGAAAATACAAAATCCCATTTGAGACTATGTGAAATATATCCGAAAAATATCGCGCTCTGATTGGCTGTCCGGAGTGTATCAAACAGGTGAAGGGAAACACTAAAAGATGTTTCAAAAGGTTCCAATAATGTGAGCGTAAAGGGCAAACACATATCAGTGTGTATCAAAGTATTAGGGCTTCCGATAATGTTACAAAGAGAGCATTAAATTAATACAAACGCTTATAAAACAAATAAAAGAAAATCATAGTTTGGTGCCTATTAATCTCACACGAAAGAAGGAAACCTTTCACTTGAGTATGTTCAAAGTATGAATGCATGTGTTTACATGTGTGTGTGTGTGTATGTGTGTGTGTATATATATATATATATATATATATATATATATATATATATATATATATATATATATATTATATATATATATATATATATATATATATATATATATATATATATATATATATATATATGTATGTATGTGTGTGTGTGTGTGTGTGTGTATACATAGATATGTATATGTATAGATATGTATAAATATAGATATTGATATAGATATATTATTATAGATATTCCGGTAAATATGAAACCATGCTGAAAAGTTCTATCCTAATGGCCTTTTCAATTCATGGGGGCAGATCACACCTGCGCTCGCCTATTCACTCGCTGACCTACCAAGAGCAATTATAAACACACAGGTGTGTAAACGAGTAATACTTACAATACATACACACACACCCACACACACACACACATACACACACACACACATACACACACACACCGTGCATATATGTATATATAATATATATATATATATATATATATATATACATATATATATATATATATATATATATATATATATATATATATATTTAAACATTTATATATTACACACACACACATATATATGTGTATGCAAATGCATGTACATATATATACATACATACATAATATATATACACACATATATACATACTTGTATATACATATATATGCACATATACATATATATACATATATAAATACATATATATACATACATAAATACATACATATATACATACACATATGCACAGTGTGTGTTTAAACAAACAAACAAACATTACTCATATATGTACAGCAAAACCAAACCCCTTCAAAGTTCAAATCAAGGTGAAAATCCGCTGACCGCATCTGCGCCTCGCCCTCTCTCTCCTCCCTCTCTCTTCTCTCTCCTCCCTCTCTCTTCTCTCTCCTCTTTCTTTTCTCTCCCCCCTCTCTCCCTCTCTTCTTCCTCTTCCTTCTCTCTCTTCCTCCTTTCTCCCTCCCTCCTCCCCCTCTCTCTCTCTTCCTCCTCCTTCCCTCTCCCTCCTCTCTCTCTCTCTCTCTCTCTTTCTCCTCCTTCCCTCTCCCTCCCCCTCCTCCTTCTCTCTCTTCCTTCTCCCTCTCTCTCCCTCCCCTCACCCCCTCCCCTCCCCCACCCTCCCCTCCCCCTCTCTCTCCTCTCCCCCGACCTCCCTCCCTCCCTACCCTCCCTCCCCGCGCCCACTCACCCAGCAGGAGCACCGTGGACAGGAACCAGTTCTGCGTGGACGGGTCGCTGTACATGGAGTAGGCGAGGAGCGAATCGGACACGACGTCGAAGTAGAACATCCCGACGGAGATGAGAGCCGTGAGGGCGTCGAACCAGCCGAATTCCGTCGGCTCCATCGGCTGCATCAAAGTCTGCAGGCCCTGTTCGGAGTAGCGGGGTCAGCGAGGGGATAAGGTTGATGACGTGGTGGTGACGTAATGGAGTCGTGTTGGTGACGTAATGGAATAGTGTTGGTGACGTAGGGGTGACGTAATGGTGACTTAATAGCGGGTAAAATGTCAACAATACGTAGTAACAAAAATAATGAATGTAAATAAACAAATAAAAATAAATATAAAAATTGAATAGATATCAATTCTCTATTCAGAGGCTATGCAAAGAAGAAAAGGAAGAGGAAGGGGAAAGGAAAAGAAGAAAAAGGAGGAGGAGAAGAAGAAGAGGATGAAGAAAAATAAGGAGAAGAAAAAGGAGGAAGGGGAGAAGAAGGAAAAGAAAAGAAGAAGATGAAGAAAAAGACGACGAAGAAGAAGAGGAAGAAGATGGAGAAGAACAAAACAGAAATAGAAAAAGGAGGAGGAGAAGAAGAAAGAAAAGAAGACGAAGAAAAAGAAAAAGAAGAAGAAGAAGAAGAAAAAAAAGAAGAAGCAGAAGAAAAAAAAGGAAAAGAAGAAGAAAGAAGAGAAAGCAGAAGAAAAAAAAAGAAAAAGAAGAAGAAAGAAGAGGAAGCAGAAGAAAAAGAAGAAGAAGAAAGAAGAGGAAGCAGAAGATAAAAAAGAAAAAGAAGAAGAAAGAAGAGGAAGCAGAAGAAAAAGAAGAAGAAGAAAGAAGAAGAAGCAGAAGAAAAATGTTGTGCACCAAATCAAAGCCGAAATCCAGAGGCGCCGGAGTGCCAAGCGCCCGGCAGGAAAGTGAGGCCGAGATGAAAGTCTAAGTAAAGTTCAGTCAAGTTCAGTTAAGAAGACGAGTTCTTGCTAAAAGTTTTTGTGTTCAGTGACCAATGAAGGGGCCAAGATGGATACTTAAGAGAGTAAGAATTAGACCGAACCTCATAGCCCAAAGACCAGATAAAATCATTAAAATGTATAGTCTGTTCCATAGGTTTCAAATGTTTAAATCGTTTACTTAATTATTTTAGTATATAAATTGAAATATCTTTATCAGTTTAACACGCTTGCTAATTTCTTATCAATAATTTTCTAGAAATTATAATTTCTTATCAATAAAAGCAATATATTACATTTCCTTTGCCATGGACAGACAGACAGACATATAGTGTCGGAAATTTCTTTTAAAGGAAATATGATATAACCAGCAATCATCATCACTAAGATCCATTTTAACTAATGGGATAAAGTATTTGACTTTTATATGAATATCGTCAATAACATTATCACAACTATAAATCTTTTTTATGTATGTAAGTAAGTGCTTTCAATTTGGATTTAGAATTTGAATATCACCACTGGCATCATCAACAACACTATCACACCTATAAATCCTTTTGATTTTGAATATCACCAATGACATTACCAACAACGCTCACAATTATGAATCCTTTTACATATGTACCTAAGTGTTTTGAATCTGAACATCACAACTATCACTATAAACAACAGTATCCCACGAACTAGCCGTTTTATAGACCACCCCCTAAGCTATTTACCTCGTCAGCGCACAGGAAACAGAACTGGCAATTAGACATAAAACAAGGTAACAGAGAATACATCGTCCCCGGGGCTATTATAGACACTCAGATCCTCAAGCAAGGTAGACTCTGATCCTCCACAGCCTCCACGGAACTGAAACCTACCGGACAGAGGGCTTCCGGAAGGACACGCAGCGTCAGTCAAGGTTTCTGGGACACTTGGCTAGCTATTTGCGAGGGGAAGGGATTTCCACCTCTGTGGGCTCTTGGTTTTAGGTTTGTGGGCTGGTTATAAAGATTCTTTCAGACTTTGTACAAAATATGTGATAGACAGTATATTTATGTTTGTATGTTTATAGGTGTGTGTGCCTGTACGTATGTACGAGAATATACGTGTGCATGTACGTATGTACGCATGCATGCATGTATGTATGTATCTACGACAGAGAGATATATAGACGTGTGTGTGTGTGCCAAATGTGTATGTGTGTGTGTATGTGTGTATATGTATATATGTGTATGTGTATATGTATATATGTATATATATATATATATATATATATATATATATATACATATACATACACATACACACACACATACACACACGTGTCCACATAAACATCCACATACAATACACCTAAACGCAATTCAACCACATACTCCCCCTCCCCGCCGCCCGTCCCCCTCTCCCCACACCCACCTTCTTCGCGCCGGCAGCCAGGGCGCGGCCGGCGACGTTCGTGGCGTCCGTCAGCTGCTGCCGAACCTCCACCAGGGACCGCTCTCCTGTAGGAGGATGGGGGGGGGGCGTTAAGAGTAGGTTCAGGCGAATCTTTCGGAAGGATCTGCGTGTGAGAGATAGGGAGGTGGGGGGAAGGAGGGAGGGGGGGGGCGAAGGAAGGAGGGAGGGAAGGAAGGAAGGGAGGAAGGAGGGAAGGAAGAAAGGAGGGAGAGAGAGTGAGGCAGGGAAGGAAGGAGGGAAGGCGTGAGGGAGATTAAGCGGGAAGTAAGGGGAGAGAGAGAGAAAGAGGGAGGCAAGGAAGAGGAGAGGAAGGGAGGTAGGTAAGTAGGTAGAGAGAGAGGGAGAGTGAAAGAGTAAAATAGGAGAGGGAGAGAAAGAGAAAGAAAAAGAAAAACAAATGGCCAGAGAGAATGAGAAACAGACATAGACAGAGAAAAAAACAGACAGACAGACAGACATAAGGTGAGTGTGCAGCACAAGCAGAGCCTGAACACAAAGACATTCTGCACATAAACACAGTCACACTGCATGACTCAGCATCTTACCTACATGAGTACAAGATATGAGAATAAATAAGCTTAGATGAGTCACGAGTCACCGCAACTTCACCGAGATCTAATTCTGTTGTTGTTGCCATGGACTCACAACGTAAACAATAACTATGGTTGTCTGTTATTTACCTGGCAACCAAAAAGAACGTCGCTAAGGTCGATAAAACTGAGCTAACAGTAATGGCAGCTAAAGATATATAAGAAATTTAAATTAAATATTTAAAGGTAATGCGGAATATCTATCGAGGATTAACACGATCAAGTAAACTTCTCTCTTTGTCTTTCTCTCTCTTACGCTTACTTTTTTTCAATTCACGCACGCTCTCGCTCTCTCTCTCTCTCTCTCTCTCTCTCTCTCTCTCTCTCTCTCTCTCTCTCTCTCTCTCTCTCTCTCTCTCTCTCTCTTCCACACCCAAACAGACTGGCTACTCACGCAATCTCCTCTCCGTGTTCGGAGTCATGGGCAGTGTGGGCGAAGTGTTATCGCTGGATATCGAGCCCATCCTCGATCCTGAAGGCGGCTTGGTCGAGGACGAGCTCCTTCTCGAGGGCGACGTCGAGTACTCGTCATCCCTCTCGCTCCTCCTGCCGCGCCCTCTGCGTCCGCCATCGCCGTAGCCGTCAGCCTCCGCCGGCGCCCTGGTGAAGCTGACGTTCTCGTAGGCGCCGTAGGAGGCGTCGCTGTCCTCCTCCCGCGGCTTCCGTCCAGGCATGGCCCAGCGCCCGCCGTGAGACATGCAGCGGTTCTCCTCCTCCTCTTCCTCTTCTTCCTCCTCCTCTTCTTCCTACTCCTCTTCCTCCTTTTCTTTCTCTTCCTCCTTCTCTTCTTCCCCCTCTCAGTGATTATCCGGTTCCTCCTTCACACCCGCGTCCTACACCATGGCATCTGACGTTCTGCCTCGCACCCGCTTATAAGGTCCTGCACTGACCAAGGCTTCCGCTAGTCATGCTTTATCCAGTCAGCTGATCGTCTTTTAAAAGCATTAATATCTGTTCCTTGGCATGTCTTCTGTGAGTTGTTTACAAACACTAGCGTTTACGGAATCTAATTATCGTACCCAAATATTCACAGTGGAAACGGTGAC